GAGGGACCCAGTGGGTGTGGGAGGCCTGAAGGGTTAGGAGAGGGGCCAGTGCTGGGGACAGGGATGTCAAGGTCATAAGCAGAGAAAGAAAATGGAGGCAGTGGGGCATGTGGGGAAGGCGATGCTCCAGGTGAGTGGTAAAGCAAGAAGGGAGACAGTTCTAGCCCTGGGGCCACAGTATTTAGGGCTGTGGATGAAGAGGAGGTTCCTAAAGAACCAATATTTTATCCAGAGGACAAGGGAGAAGGGTTCCACAGAGCTGAAGCCAGAATATACCCAGAATAAAATTCTTTGAAGTCTCACATTTACGCTCTAAATTCTTGCCAATTTTGCATTCATCTCCATCAGTCAATCCATGTGAGTTCTCATATAAAAAGATTTTCAAGTACTTACCGGTGACACCCTTTAACCTACTTTTGTACACCCCTCTCCCACCATCAATAGTGGAAATCTTCAAGAGAAAAGGAAGTTGTGGGTTCATCCTGTGGCTTTGGGGTCTCCCCAGCCAGTCTCCTGCATTGAGATATCCGTCACCCAAGCATTCAAGGTTCTTCACAACCCTGCACACAAGAGCCAGACACTTCCAACCCCCTTCACAGGCAACCAGGCCTCTTACCCCAAACTTATTCTTTGCCATGTGACCCAAGCACCTTCCCCCACTGTGGCCAGATGGATTCTTCTAAAGTCCAAACCTGACCCTGTCCTTTCTCATGGCTCCCCACTGCCTTTGGCATGGAGTCGCAGCTCCTCAGTCTGGCAGTTGGCATCTGCCCACTTTGTGAGCTCACCCGTCACCATCCCCCTTCTCCCATGCTGTGCTCCAGCTACGTGGAACTTTGGCCAGCTCTTCAAATGCACAATCCTCTCTCCTCCTTTCTTTTGCACATGACGTTTTATCTCCTTGGAAGACCCCCTTTCCTCCTGGCTCTCTTTGTATATCCTTCAAGTGTGCAGGACCCAATGCAAAATGAAAATCTGGAGTCCCTTGTTCAAAAATTATTAAGAATTTCATGATGGTGACAGCAGGGCATTCAACCAAGCACAGAGGCCTTCTAAAAGTGGGGCTCTCTGCAACTGCACAAGTCACACTCCTACGAAACTGGCTCTGCCTTCAGGAAACCATGGACTCTTCTCATTTCCCATCCCAGGCTCAGTTAGGAGCCCCATCTGGACCCCCAAAGTCTCTTGGGTTTAAATAAGCCCTATTCATTCTTACTTGTGCTTTCCCCATCCCAGCCCTGACCACTCTGGGCTGCCATTGTTCGGGGAGTATCTATTTCCTCTACTGGACTAGAGCTCTGTGAAGGCAGAGTCTGGGGTTGTGTTGGTTGCCACTACGTTCCCAGCATCACTCTAACACGTCAGGGCAACACCAAGCACTGATACCTATCCTTGCTTTTGTGAGACATAAAAGGGCAAAGGCACCAGGGAGGAAACAAAGGCAAGAGCCATATTTCTCTTCTCAACCGAGAAGAGAAACCTCCTCATTGGATGGACCCCTTTACCTGATAAGGGCCCATGTAAAGAGCTGCAAAAGCTTGGCCTGAGCTGAGGCCTTGCAAGGGCTCCCAGATATGCCTGGACACATGGCCTGTGTTGTTGGATCAGCCATGCCCAGACACACGGGTTGGATCAGGCAGCACGCAGACAGAGAGTCCTGGTATCAGGACTAATCACTTAAAAAAGAATGCATTAGTAACCTGGTGCTTTGACACCAGGAAAGTTGGTGTCAAAATGTACAAGGCATTCTCAAAGCCAGATGGAGGAGGAGTAGCACTCCCTGAGCTCAAGATATTAGTGACTCGGCTGGGTAGTGTTGGACAAGCTACATTTTAACTTTAAATTCTAGATACATGTGACCATTTGTCCACAGTCATATTGTTTCTGCATGGGGGTGGGAGATAGTCCAGGCGTCTTGTGGGGAGGTAGTGCGGGTCCATGCTAGAGGGACCAGCCTGCCCCCACATACCTCCTCCTACCCAACCCGCTTCCAAACATGTAATAAGCTACCACTGGGTGTGTGTCTCCATTTCCTGTGTCCACATTCCCCGCAATCAGCCACAGCCTCTGCCTTGCAGTGTCGGTCCACTGTTTGCCTGGTACTTGAACCTAGAAAAGGTCATTAATTCTTATGCTATAGAGAGGTCAGCTCCCCCATCTAAGGGATGGATCTTTGGATAGCACATACCAGGGCCCTGCGACTCTTCTTCTCTAGTCTGTGTAATCTTGCCTGAGGACCAGGTAGTTGGATAGCGGTCCACAATGTACCCCTCTGCATAGGGGATGAAGGTCCTTGGTGAGGTAGTCTCAAATCTCTCTCCAGTCTATCCACTCAGGCCCCAACCTGGGCCAGGTTAACCTTCTGCCTGGACCATTGCAGTAGCCTCTCTGGTCTCCCTGCTTCACTTTTGTCCCCCACATGCAAACCGATCTACTACTGGGGCTTCTTTAGGATCAGGGAGCACAACTCTCCTCAGCTGCTCAAAACCCTCCAATGGCTTCTCATGCCACTTAGAATAAAATCCAGATTCCTCCCAATGGCTTACAGGGGCCTGCATCATCTGTTCCCTTACTCTCCAGCCTCAACACGACATCACTTCCTTTTTCTCATATTTCTTCTGTCCCTTGGCTTCTTTCAGTCCCTTTTACTTACCATGCATTCCTCAGCCCTGGGACTTCACTATATGCTGTTCTATTTGCATGGAATGCCCTTTCCATTCCCCGTGTAGTTAACTCCAACCTGAGTATCCTTCAGATCTGAGCTGGGGTATCACTTCCTCCAGGAAGCCTTCCTTAACTTCTCTTCCTGGGTCTGGTACCCTGGTTACAGGATCTCACAGTTCCATGTATCTCTCCTGTATGGCCCCATTTGCCACCAGATACTTTGCACCTGCTTGTGTGATTATTTAACATTTGTTTCTTCAGCAAACGGTGAGGTATGTGATGGCAGGACAGTCCTGTATCTGTTCATTATTGAATCCCCAGCACATAGCACAAGGAGGCACACAATAAATATTTTAAAACAGAGCACTGAGGAACAGTATGCTCTGGCTGCCCCTCATGGCAGAAACTGATATTTTCTAGCTGACTCTAGGTATCCAAACCTTCCCCTCCCTAGGCCTTTTCTCCAAGACACCTCACTGTCCATGATGGCTTCTCCTGACCTCAGCCACCAGAGGGTAACAATAAGAGGAAGGACCTCACGATGCTGCTGGAGGACCCGGAGTCATACCTGGTCCCTGGGACTCAGGTTGTTCCCATGGCCAATGGAAGATCATTTTCAAGGCCTACATCCACCAAGAAAGCTCAAGCAGAATCTAGGATGTTATCCCGCAAGGACAAGTCATGTGCACCACATCATGAGAATGGCCACTCCAGTCTCGGATCCTCTTCTCCATGCTCCTCACACCAGCATCACTGCAGAGAAGACTGACAGGACCCAAGTTCCCTCCACATCTCTGCCTCTGGACCCACCACTAGAGGTAGCCTGAGGTCGAGAAGTGCTATTCCTCTCACCGCTGATCTCATTCCTGAATCTCCAGAGAAGCTGCCATTTCCAAGGCCCAGGGTTTGGTCCTCCAAACCTCTTGGTGCCTGGGCGGGGGTCCAGGGAAGTCCAAAACAGAGTGAGGACCAGCCCTGGAGATACGTGTGGCGGAAAATCCAGGTCAACCTGCGCCAGGCTCTAGGCCCACAGAATCCCAGGTCTACACTCCCTACTTCCTCTTACCTCCTACTCAAATCGTTGAGTCTGGCACCTGTCCCCCTGGACCCCTAACACTGCTCTCACTGTAGCCTTAAACCCAATAATCACTTGAGTCCGAGTTGCCTCGTTTGCTTCACTCTGTCCCTCCACCTGCTGCTCCTGTTTAGTCTTTGTTTTTCAGCCTAGTTTTCTCCTGGTCCCTTACACATGGAAAGTCTCAGAGGCTGTCTCACCACATTGGTGGCCTCAGTTTCCCATCACTGCTGACAGAGCCCTCATTTCTATTCCCAGCTCCTGCTTCAGACCAAGGGTCCTGAGGCTTCCTGGCTGCCACCCCCTTGGATGTCCTTGGAACCTCCCACATCCATGAAGTCCCACACTGGCCCTGGCATATTTCCCAAATCTCCCCTTTCTCCCTGGTCCCTATTAGCGTTACCTCCACTGTCCCCTCCCCAGCCAGAGCCCTGGGCCCCCTCCCTCCCCTATGGCCTTTCAGCTTTATAAGCCATCTGCTCAGCTTCCTGAATGTCTCTCTCACCAACCCCAACTGCTTTTCCTAGCCCTACCCTGGTCCAGCCTTGTCCTTACCCACCCAGGTCCCTATCCTGGCTTCCCCTGGGCTCCCCACCTCAGTTTTCACCTCTGGTCCACCCTCCTCATGACAGCTAGAAGGATCTTCCTAAAGCCCAAACCTGACCTTGTCCTCCCCTGCACAGAATCCACCAATACTATTGGCTCCCCAATACTATCAGGACAGAGTCTGAGCTTCTCAAGCTGGAGATCCTGGATCCTGCTCACCCCTCCTGCCTCACCTCTATCACAGGACCCCCGGCACCTGGCACTTACTAAGTCCTTGCTTATACTGTACCATCTGCCTGGAACACCTTTCTCTCTGCCCTTTGCCCAGTGACTTCCTTCAGATGTTATTCTCAGGTCACTTGGCTCCTCCAGGAAGCCCTCTCTGACCATATCCTAGGCTGAGTCAGGCATCTTTTCTGGGCTCCCACAATCTCTCAGGCTTCCCTGATCACCAAATCTCTGATCACCCTGAGCTATCACCATCTGAGGGCAGGGCCTGGGGCTGTCTGAGTCACACAGCATCACCGAGCACATGGCATGCCCGGAGATGACGCTCAAGAAATGTCTGTTGACTAAATGGATGACCATCCTCAGCCTCATCCAGGGACCTCAGATAGAACTGGGTAAGCCTCTCCCCCAGAGGAGGCATCCCCAGCTCCAGACCTCTGCATGATACCCCCAGCTCCCACAGACAGAGACAGGGGCAAAGGCCCAGGCCCAAGCTTAGAAAAATAGGACTTTCTTGTTGTGCCCCAGTGCCCCTGACACCCCCCCGACCAGTTTTAAAAACCATGAACAATTTGGTGAGTCTGAGGCCAGGCCCCATGGGGTGCCTGGGTCCTGCAACCCCTTGGGCCAGAAGGGCCACAGAGGTGGGTACGAGGCTAGGGTCCCGTGGGTTCGTGGCTGGACCCCCAGGGCTCACAGTCCAGCTGGACCACGGTGTGGGCCCTAGGCGCAGTGGGCTCAGGGGCAGGAAGGGCTGGCGTGGCGCCGTTGGTCTGGGAGCAAACGCTGCTGACGGGTGCGGGTGCCTTGGCCTTGCCTGGGGGCTGGCCGCCATGCACCTTGTAGCGCATAAGCAAAACGAAGATGAAGACCAGTACCGAGGCCACGATGACACCACCCAGTGCGATGATCATGGTGCCGCCCAGGAAGGGTGCATGTGGGGCCCCGCAGGGCCGCAGTGCTGGCTCCGTGGAGAAGCGGGTGCAGCCCACTGGCTGTGTGGCTGTCAGCCCTGTGGCGCTGTCCTCATATACCGCTAGCACACACAGATCGTAGGTGCGGCCTGACACCAGGTCTGTCAACAGGAAGGAGCGGCTGTCGGCTGGGATCATCCTGGAGGGACAGGTAGGTGGGGGTCAGGTCTCCAGCTGCCCAGCACCCACCCTGAGCTCTGCCCTCCCCCTACCCCCCGTCCAGTCTAGAGAATTTCCCCCAGTCCAGCTGCCCCATTTCATTCTAATTTCTAAATTCCCTCTAATCACTACTCGAACCCCCTTTTGTCTGATACCTAGTCAGCGGCCTGATATCCCTCCAGTCTGTTGGCTGATTTTACCTGAGCCCACCACCTCACTTTCTTGCTGAATTCCACTCAAATTCCCATTTGATCTTCCTCTAGGTCCAATGCTCAAATTCTCTCCAGTGCAGCTGTCCCTTTCCCCTCTGCTCTGCTGCCCAGTTTCACTCTAGCCCCACTGCCCAGTTCTCTGTGGCCCACCACTTGAGTTCTCCCAGTCCTGTTTCATTTTATACCCAGCTGCATTATTTACATCCTGCACTGCCAACTGATTTCCCACCAGCCTGCAGCCCTAGTTCCCTCTAGCTTTGCTGCCCAATTTTGCTTTACTCCTCTGCCTGACTTCATTCTGGTCCCTGCATCCTATTCTCCTCTAGTTCACTCTCTGAGTTCCTTCAATCCGTCACCCAATTTCCTACCAATCCACCACCTGAGTCCCCTCTAGCCCTGCTGCCAGACATCTCTCCAGTTCCCATCCAATTCTGTTCTAATCCTGTCTGACCTCCCTCTAACCCAATGTCCATTTCCTTCTGGCCCTCCATCCAACTTCTCTCTAATTCCACCTCCCAGTCTCCCTCTAGACCCTCTGTTCCCGTCTGACAACTCCAGCCTGCACCTAATTTTCCTTTCCCTTTACTGTACTGTAGCTGGATCCTCTCTAATTTAACTGCCTGATTCCTCCATACTGCTGATGCCTGATTTCCTTCTAACCTGCCAATTAATGTTCCCCCAGCCTCGTTGTTTAATTATTATTGTATCTATAACCTGCTTTTCAGTGAGTCCTGTCATCTGACACCATTTTCATTAAACAATGTACTTCAGTCACCACTGCTGATTTTGTTTTCTCTCTGTTGCCTTATTTCTTTCCAGCTCTGCCTCCTAGTTCCTTGTTATCTCTGTTGACTAGTTTCTTTTTATCATTACTTTTCCCTTAGCACCCAATTCCACTATATTTCCTTTTGTAGTAGAACACCCTGTTGGAGATTTAACTTGTTTTATGATCTATTTTATCCTTAAACTACTTTAATGAAGGAAGTACAGGAAACTCCGTGATTGTCTCTGGTAGGGTGACCATCTAGGGAAGCATTTGTCCCATCCCCTGCCAGGCATGGTGGACTTGTGTATGCCCTCCATGGAATCTTCTGAATGCTGACTATGAAAGAAAGTGGAAAAAGCTTGTTAGATTTCCAGGACCGAAGAGGAAACCAAGTGAGGATCTCTTGAGGTCTGACCCCCTGGGGAGGGAAATGGAACCCAGGTGCTGAGTTTACAAGGTGTAGACTCCAGGGCTTGGGAGGTCTCTTGGCTCAGCCTGAAAGTGAGAACAGGGAGCTATCCACAGCCATCCGTGCAAGGTTGGACTTGGGTGAGAGGTGTCAGTAGCGTTCAGGTCAGAGCCACCACTACTGGCCACATGTATCTACAGCAGATGTTCCAAGTACTCTTCAGCTCAGGGGCAGAAGTTGTACTGACCCATCTCTTGGAGTGTGAAAGCCCCAGGTTTTTTCTTTGCAACAACAGATGACAGAAGGGAATCCCCAACAGTGGCAAACTGAACATTCCTGTTCGCCTAGCAGGTGGAGCTTGAACTAGGTTTAATTTGATTCAAGAAATGAAAAATCAAGATGTCACCATATAAGAACCACAAACGTGGAGCAGTTCACACTGCACAGACCCAGAGCCAAGTTTCTATTTAACCTCCTCCCTCATTTTCCTTTTAACCTCTGGTCAGAGTTCCTTTGCAGCAGGGCTGCCTCATTGCATTTTTCTCATGATCCCTGTACCTTCCTGCTTGCTCTCTTTTTCTTCCTGCAGTCTGGCTTGTATCTAGCCCTGTCATCTGGAAACACCTGGTTTCCTCTTTACCTTTACTACTTAATTTTATATCTCCCCAAACTTGCCCCATCTCCTTTAACGGTTTACTTTTCTGGCCTGGTTACTTTTTACTCTTCTGTCTGATTTCCTTTATATGTCTGTTACTATTTACTTTTGCTGCCTTATTTCTCTTTACCACTCTCGCCAGATTTCTTTTACCTCTCAGCCTGATTTCTTTTACTTTTGTTATCTGATTTCCTTTGCAACCTTGCAGCCTCATTTCTCAGCTATGCTGCAGCCTGGGTATTGGTAAGTATATCTCTAACCTTCCCTCCACCTCACTCCCCCAACCACGTTGCCCACTGCCTGGACACTGCACCTGTAGACGAGGATGTCATCGGCTGAGCTGTTGTACTGGATCTGGTACATGCGAATTCCTGGAATAGGCCGCTGATCTGGCCACTGGATGAGAGCAGCTGTGGCCCCATGCTCAGTCACCTGGACACCACGGTCAGTAGGGGGTACGGTGTCAGCTGCCTTGGCAGAGGCGGCAGAGGGCGGGGTGAGGGCATCAGGATCCCCGTCCCGCGGGGGGTCACAGCTGGTGCTGTTGGCTAGCTGAGGAGGAGGTGGGGGGCCCACAGTTAGCTCAACAGCAGCTGTGGCCTCACCAGCTGCATTGGCTGCAATGCAAGTGAAGATGCCGCCATCACCCGGCTCAGTGACCAGCAGCTCCAGGGTCCCATTAGGGAAGGCACGAGCACGGCTCGAGTTGCCCAGCAGCCGGCCCTGGGGTGACACCCAACGTACACGGGGCTCAGGGTCCCCCACTGCCCGGCAGCGCAAGGCAGCTGGCCGACCTGCAGGCACTGCCAGGGGTGGCGAGCGGTGAGTCACCACGGGGGGCTCACAAACAAACTCCTCCTCACCCACAGCCCAGAAGTAGCGGCCACCCAGGGCAGGTGGGGAGGCGCAGGCTTCGAGGTCGTCCTCCCGAGCCAGCCGCCGCAGCCACACCAGCTCGCAGTTGCAGTGCAGAGGGTTCCCGCCGAAGGCCAGCACCAGGGCAGAAGCAGGTGAGCCGCGGGGCCTGGCTAGTAGTGGTAGGCGAGAGAAGAGTGGGTCAGGTGGAATGGTGGTCAGGCGGTTGGAGGTCATGTCCAGCCGCGCCAACTTGTGCAGGCGAGAAAAGGCGCCAGCAGGCACAGAAGCCAGCAGGTTGTGGTCGAGGCCCAATGTATTGACATTGCCCAGGCGGCCCAAAGCCTCCCAGGGCAGCTGTTCCAGGTTGTTGTAGGAGAGGTCGAGGTCCTCAAGAGTCTCGGCACAGTCATCCAGGGCACCAGCAGCTAGTGCTGCCAGCTGGTTGTTGCTCAGGATGAGATGGCGCAAATTGACCAGGCCACGCAGCTGACCCTCGCCCAGCGAGGTCAGCCGGTTGCCATCAAGGTGCAGAGCACGCAGAGCACGAAGGTCAGCAAAGGCGCCGGCTGCCACATGCCGGATGGTATTACGTGACAAGCTCAAATGCAGCAGGCCCGTCATGTTGGCCAGGTCACGGCGGCGCACAGCCGCAATGAAGTTGTCCGCCAGGCGCAGCTCAGCTGCCCGGCGGTCCAGAGAGGGAGGCACGAACAGAAGGCCTGCCCCAGGGCACAGCACACTTAGGGGCAATGACTGTGTCTGGCAGCGGCAACGGCGTGGACACAGGCTGGGTGTGGCTGACTGGGGTGGAGACGAGGCGGGGGCCAGCGGTAGCAGGCAAAGGAGCAGCGGGAGGACGGCCATCTCGGGTAGGGGCGGCCTGCACGTAAGAAGGGAGGCATTAGGGCACGGTGAGGCCAGAAGAAGGGTATCAGAGGGGGCTGGGGTGGTCCAAGACCAGGAGAGAATGTCACAGTGGGCTGAGAGCAGAGGCGCTGGTTAAAGTTGGTCAGAGGGGAGTGATCAGACATATCGAAAGCCAGAGGAGTTGGTCAGATTCAAAGAGATGTGTCATGGGGAGACAGAAGGAGTAGAAATGAACAAAGACAGTCAGAGGGAAGGGGGGTGTTTAGACATGGTCAGAGACAGTCAGAGAACGGAAAGGTTGGTCAGGGTGCATAGAAGGTAAGCCGAGGGCTTTAGACATGGTCACAGAGAGATGGTCAAGGATGGCCAAAGAGACAAGAGGTGGTCAGGGCGGTGAGAGTGACTAGAAGTAGTCGGATGTGACCAGAGAGGTGGTTAGAGATGATCAAGATAAGCAGTGGACAAAGAGAGGGGAAGTGGTCAGGGGTGGTCAGATGGTCAGAAATGGTCAAAAGCCAGAGAGGAGGAGAGGACAGCTGGGTAGGGTGATGCATCTAGGGAGAGGTCATCAGACAGAGGAAAGACAGCCAGGGATGTTAGAAATTATCAGAGACAGAAAAGAGAGGTGGTCAGTAAAGGCCAGAGATGATCGAATGGTCATTGACTGGCAGTTAGGATCAGGGATGGGAGGAGGGCAAGAGAGATGGCAAAAGGTGGTCAGAGAGAGGAAAGGTAGACAGAAGAAGCCAGAGAGGAGAGATAGACAGAAGTGGCTGGAGAGAAGAGTGGTAGACAGATATCAAAAAGATGGTCAGAGACAGTCACTGGCCAAGGCTGAGAGTCAGAGCTGGACAAGGGCAAGATGAGGAGAGAGTGGTACAGTGGGCAGAGATGTCAAAGGTGGTCACTGACTGAAGCAGTAGACAGAGGTAGCTGAAGAGAGGAGCTGTGGACAGGTCTGTTAAAGATGATCAAAGATAGAAGGGGTAAACAGATAACCATTGAGAGATGTGGTGGCCAGAGAAAGGAGCAATGGACAGAAGTGTCAAAGATGGTCAGAGAGAGGAGAGGTGGAGAACGGAGACGGGAGAGAGGAGTGGTGGACAGGAGAGGTGGCTGAGGGTGGTCAGACAAGACAGATGGCGGGAAGAAGTTAGAGGACAGACTGGGGATGGGTCAGAGACCTGGAGATGCCATCAACTGGGGAAGAAGAAATCAGAGCGGGGCAGAGCTGGCCAAATGTCCAGAGACTGTCTGAGGCAGAGTAGGAGCTGGAGGCATACATACCCATGGGTAGGGGTGTGTTTCTGGGGAAAACCCCAAGGATGCCCAGAGGTACCACGCCTGGTCATCACATACTCCATCCCCAGCCACAAAGTTCCTCCCCAGTCCCTCCCCACGATGGGGGTCTCCCAGTAGCCTTACCTGAGCTGGAAGCCGCCCCAGGGAGCAGAGTCCTCAGGCTCCAAGGGGGTCAGGGGTCAGGGGTCTGGATGGGGCACCTGGTCATGACTTTCCTGTCCCCAAGCCAAGGCCTCTGTACAGGGACTGTCTGTTGTGTCTCAGCTCAGATAAGTGGTCATGGAGTCTCTAGACCTTGATACTTGGGGTCCTAGATCCCCAAATATTGGGCCTCTAGGGTCCAGTTTTAGAGACCCTGGCACCCCTTTGGATTGTTCAGAGTCAAAGTTGCCCAGCTCCAATCCTGGGATGCTAAACAGTCAAATGGAGAGTTTAGGGTATAACATCTGATACTGGAGTGCTGGGTTCAGATATTGGGGTGCTAAGTCAAGTTTTGGAGTTCTCTAGTCCTAAATTTCTGCATTCAGATTTGCAGCAAGTACCTCAGGCCTGATCTCGGGTTTAGGCCCCTTGGAATGCCAGGGTTCAGATCTTGGAATATGAGGCCTAAATCTCAGGGTTCAGGTCCCAAATAATGGGTTCCAGGGTAAAGACATGGGAATTCCATCCCAGATTTCAAGGTCCCAGGCATGGAATTCAGAGTTCAGGTCCGGACTTCGAGTTTTAGATGCCAGATCTTGAGGTTCAGGCTCCAAGTCTTGGGGTCCATATTCCAAGTCTTGGGGTTCAGGCTCCAAATATTGGGGTCCCAGGGACTGATGTTGAGATTCCAGCCCCTGATATTGGTGTTCAGGCTCCAGGTCATGGGCTCCCAGCCCAGATCAGGGTCCCAGGTTCGGGTTTCCAGATCTCTGGATTCGATCTTGGGGTGCAGGACCCCAATGTCGGGGTGCGGACTCTCGGTCTAGGGCGACGGCGCCTCGGCTTGCTTCCCCAGCTGCAGCGGAGGCTGGCCCGGAGGGAAGGGGTTGGCTGCGGTGTGGGAGTTGGGGGGAGGCCAGGCAGCCCCGGGGGCCGGGGTGGGGCGAGGCCTGGGAGGGAA